CCCGGGCTGACCGGAGAAATCAGCTGTTTTGTGACAAGCCTGGGAGGGAGGGGGGAAAAGCGGAGCGGCAGCGGCGCGCTCAGGGGAGCAGGTGGAGCGGAGGTGAGCTGCGGCGGGGAGGGTGGTTCCTCCTCACGCCCCCCACCGCTGCAGCTCACCTCAGCTCAGCGCCGGCTCCCTGCTTTTGGCGCCCCAAGCAAAAAAAAAAGGAGCCGGAGTGCTGCCCCTTGGAAAGTGCCGCCCCAAGCACATGCTTAGAGCATTGGTGCCTAGAGCCGGCCCTCCTTTCCACTGCTCCAGGGCTTAAGCTGCCGGGGAGAGACGGCGCTCCTTCCCAGCTTCAGCTCTGTGGCTACCGTGGCGGGGGAGAGAGGGGAAGACCCTCCCCAGCCCCAGCTCCGGGGCTGCCACGGCGGGGGAGAGAGGGAGTGACCCCGCCTCCTTCCCAGCCCCAGCCCCAGCCCCGGGGCTGCCATGGCAGGGAGAGAGCACATCCATCACATTAGAAAGGTAAGACTACTGATATTAAAATATGAGTTGTGTGCTTTTATTTGTAGAACAAAAAAAGTTAATTATTAAGGTTTTTATATATATAGCGCATTTATCCAAAGTGCTTTACAATAGTTAGCTAACGGTACAAACAACATTTGGAAAGAGCATTAAGTGGTCCGCCAAGACCCTCATCAATTTTCAAGTGGTCTGCAAAAAAAAAGTTTGAGAACTACTGGTCTACCTATTTGATATTGCCACTCTTACTCACACAATCAAGGCAAAGAACACAACTGTCTGAAGTGCCAATAAACACCAAGTGTACAACATCAGATGACACTTTCTACTGAGACAAAATTTCCATTAGAGGCTCTGATTCAGCAAAATACTAAGGGCTTGATCCAAAGTCTATGTAAATTAATGGAAATCCTTCTAATGACTTCAATGGGCTTTGGATCAGACCCTAAAGTACATGCTTAACTTTAAGTATATGACTCAAACATCTTTTAAAGTATTTTTCTTGATTGTTTTTACCTTAGAAATATCAGATCTTGACTTCCTTGTCTTTGCTGGAGAACTCTTCATAAGGACTGCCTGCCTTGAGTAAATGGGACTATGCATGCTTAAGTACTTTGAGATGGGGGGCAGTGAAAATTTTGCAAGAATGGGCCCCAGAGAAACAAATCAAAAGATCCTTCTGAGTATATGTGTTCTAATGATTCATGTATTATGTGATGCTTAGTGGTAGTGTATTTATCTACAGCTAACTAACAGGTATGCAGATTTTGAGTTCTTCATTTGTTTATTTTTTAAATAAGAAAGGGGCTTTCTGATGACCAATCCTGCAAGGTACTGAGTACTTCTGCGAGGATCAGAACACCTTAAAATTCCACTAACATCAGTGGGTGCTCAACACCTACTAAGATCAGGCCCTCTTCTTCTGCAGACCTGTGTTGACAATTAGCATGTGTTAATTTTTTCTGAGGATCTTTCAGATTCCAAGCTGCATTTCAGACCAGACAGAACAAAAATGTTCTTAACAGGCAAACATGCAAAGTAGATTCATTCAATTATAGTATTTCTCTTTCATTTGTACATCACTAAATAACAATATAAGATGATATTTCCAAAATGGTTTTAAGGCTACAGAAAGTAAAATGTTCTAGTAAAAACCATATGATCTTATGAAAAGGACTTCTTCTTCAATAAAAAGAGTTTAAAACAATGTATGCAAACCTGATCTTCCTAACATTTGTTCTGAAATATGAGAAAATAAAACATAAGCTGCTTAACTGCACAGTCTTTGTGTTTTGGACTTTTAATCGAGAACTTGCCACACAACATTCTGATGCAAAAGAAAAATCAAAAGTATTTCTGTTAAAAATGTCAAGCCAATAAACTTCTATATTATCATAATTACACACGAGTCACTTTATGCAAGTAATCTCATTAAATTCAGTTGTTATAATGATAAAATTTACATAAATACAAACACCAATAGTTTATTAAGCATAATAGTGACCTCGTTTAGTGTGGCAAGACTGAAAAACCTTACTTCCATAAGTAATCCTTAAAATCATTGGGAGTATTTACATCAGTAAGGGTGTGTGTGTGACAGATTTGCCTTTTTTTGTTATTTTTGAGCCAAGGCCTGCAGTCCTTATTCAGGCAAAACTCACAAGGAGTTTCCCACACGTTGATGGGATCTTCTACTGAGTAGATACAGTAGAATCAGGCCCTAGAAACACTCATGCACATGAGTGGAACCCCATATTCAGGAAAAATTCCCATTAAAGTGTGAGAAATTCAGTGCCATTTTGTCTGAGAAAAGACTTCAGAATCTGGCCCAACAATAACGAAGGGCTAAATCTTGCTTTCCTTACTCATGCCACTTATCCCACTGATTTTAAAGCTTGCTCAGTGAATAAGGTTTTGAAGAAATGGGCTGCTAAAGGGATGGCTAATATGCCTAATAGTAAAAAAGTGGAAATGTGTGTGACTGTAGTTAATTGTTCTGAATTATACAATGAGATTCAAACTAGTGGTGTAATACAGGGGAGTATTTAGAATTTTACATTCCTGAAAATTGTCATTTTATTTGAATTTATTTATAAAGGTCTCTTTTTTACACATATTATAACTAGTTTGAAAGCTTCCTGTAGTATTTTAACTAAATCCAATACTGCACTCTTTAAATAAATAACAATTAAAATAGCCACCTCTTTCAGGAAAAAATGGGAATCCTATAAGATCCTGTTAAGAGCTATTGCTCTTATTTTGTCTGCACAATAATCATCTTAAAAAACTTTAGTTACAACCTGTAAAACAGTATAGTCTGTTTTATGGATTTCTCTGCCTTAATATTTGCAGGCTATAACCAGTGTTAGTTTTTCATGGAAACTAGACTGAACAAAACCCTGGGAAATATCCTGCAGGGGCAGGGGCTGACCAAACAGCCTTTTCTCATCTCTGACTTCTGTGATATGGGAAACAGATGAGATTTGCTTTGCAATTCTGTAAATGTCACCTGCTTTTTCAGATTTGGGAACAAAGATGGAGAAAGATCTTAAAGGACTGTCCAAGGAACCTGCAAAAGTGAGTGGAATATTAGAGGCATCATTAAGGGAACATGGAACCAACTACTACAAAGGCCTTAGGTGCTCGAGGTAGGGTGGCTTAGGCTACCTGTGTGATCTGGCCCTAGTGCAGGGGTCACTGTTTCTCCTCACTCAGACATACACAAACACACACACTTTTCCTGAGACTGAGAAAGTCCCACCACTCTTCATTTATGTTAACATAAATGTGAACATTTATTTCTTAAAACACCCTCCAATAAGCTGGTGAATTTCACTAGTAAAGTTCTCAGGGCAGTACCTGCCCAGGAAAGAACTTGACCCAGGTGCTGGTGACTCAGCCCTTCCATTGGGGGAGGGAAACAGACATGTCCTTGGGACTCCACCTTGCGCCACAGCCCCTATCTCTTGGGGGGACCCTCTTATGGACCCTTCCCCTGACCCCAGCTCCTTGGAGATGCTCTCAGGGCCCAGCCCCTTCCCCTAGGGCGCACCCTACCGGCACCATGGAGTAGGTCATCATCATGAGCAACTCGTCGTTCTCGGCCCGAACGTGGCCCCTGGCGCCCGCTCCGCGGTGGCTCCTCTTGTGCCGGGCGGCTCCTGGGGCCGCTGCCCCCGGGGCGGTGGGGCCCAAGAGGGACCGCAGGATGCTGTCAGTGTCTCCCCCCTGGGGCCGCGCAGCCTCCAGCTCCCGCAGCGCCGCGCTCAGCTCCCTCCACTGGCCCAGCAGGAAGAGCGTCCCCGCGGCGCTCAGCGCCGAGAGCAGCCCCACTGCGGCCAGCAAGCAGCGCAGCGCCCGGCCGCCGTCCCCCGGCATCCCCGGCCCGGAGGCGCGCTCGGGCACGATCCTGCGAGGTCGAGCGGCTGCGGCTCCCCGGCGCTAGCGGGCAGGGGACTCGCTGGCTTCGGCTCCGGGACGGGCTTTATGGCCCCGGGCACCGTGGGCTGCTTCCACCGCCAGCCACAGAGCCGCCCGGGGTGACGAGGCGGAATGAATGGGAGAGGCGGGCGCCGCGGAGACAGGGAGCAAGGGGCAGGGACACGGGGGACCTGGCCCGGGGCAGGGCGAGGGACATGGGGGCAGGGACACGAGGGGACTTGGCCCGGGGCAGGGCGAGGGACATGGGGGCAGGGACACGGGGGACCTGACATGGGGGCAGGGACACGGGGGACCTGGCCCGGGGCAGGGCGAGGGACATGGGGGCAGGGACACGGGGGACTTGGCCCGGGGCAGGGCGAGGGACATGGGGGCAGGGACACGGGGGACCTGGCCCAGGGCAGGGCGAGGGACCTGGGGGCTGGGACACTGGGGCAAGGACACAGGGTGGGGGGGACAAGGACACGGGGGATCTGGTATATAGGCGGGGCAGGGGACAAGGAGGAGGGACAGGTTTCTGGCACACAGGGGATCAGGACGCAGGATCCGAAAGAGTGGTTCCAGGCACACTAGGGTCCAAGGCCCAGAGGATAGGGCAAGTACAGGCACACAGGCGTGGAGGGTCAGCGACGGAGAAGTGAGTATAAGGGTCGGAAGAGGACAGTGGCAGGGATACAGCTGAGTTGACAAGGGTCAGTGAATCAGGCATAAGGGTTAGAGGTATGGGGTACAGAGAAACGTGGATGCAGCTGGGAGATGAAAGAGAACAGGTACCAGAGTATGGGACAGAGCCTCAGGGCAATAGTATGAGAATAGTATTGCAACTTTTTTTATGGAAGGGGCCCCTGAAATTGCTTTGCCCCAGGTCCCCTGAATCCTCTGGGCAGCCCTGTGTGGAAGATGGGCACAGTGCCAAGGGATAGGGAAAGAGGGGCAGAGGATCTAGGTTAGGACACTCATTACAACCTCTGGCTGAAATATTCATAGTGGGCATGTAAAATTATGAACCCAAAATCCCTATTTACATTGATTTGTTTAGGTACCTAAAGTTAAGCATCCACTTTGAAATTGTTTGCCTTGACCTTTGCCCCTGAAAATTGAAATTAGGTCAGGATATTGTTATGGGAACTTGCAGGACAGCCAAGGAGAAGACAACCTTTACTCCTTGTTGCTTCCAACCACGATAGACATTTAGGTGCTTAAGTAGACATCACTACTTCCACTGTCTGAGGTACTATTGTGCTTCTGGCCATATTATAAGGATAGCTGTATTACATCCCATTTTGCTGCTTGTTAAAATGATTCCTGTATATCTACAACATAATTTTGTAATTTAGAAAGCAACTTGATGTTTTCAAAAGGTACCATTTAATTCACTAATAACCATTTAAATAGTGTTATGGCTGTAGAACTGGGCACACCTCCAAAAGTCTTATGTGAATTAACATTTTATGATCATCAATGAATTATTTTACCCCAATGTGCTGTGTGGGAGATATGAACCGAATTCTGTTCCCAGTTACCAATGTAAATCCCAGAGTACCTCCACAGAAATCAATGGAGTTACTCAGGATTTATCAATGGTGTAAATCAGAACAGAATTTGGCCCATAAATGTTACAATTTTCTTACAAATCTCCAAGAGACCCTAACCCTTGAAAGAAGGGTTAAAACATCTAATTACTGAAGAAAAAATGTGTATATGTATAAACACACGAGAGCGCACACAGAAATTCAAGGTCAGTGCCAAAGTCACTGCTTTTTCCCCTGTAACAACTATGCAGGTTAACCCTTCTTAAGAGTTTGCTAGCTTTTGGAGGTTTGTAAGACAATTTACGGGCCAAATTCACTTTCATTTACACTCCATTGATTTCAGTGGCATTACTCCAAATTTACATCAATGTACCTGCAAGCCGAATTTGGCTATATCGCACACAGAGAGCACAAAAAGATTAAAATAATTAATGGATGGTTATAAAATGTTAATTTATAGTCATAACTGATGGGCTGGAAAAATTTCCCCTCCCACTTTCTGATTAGAGAACAACCATAGCAGAGACTACCCAGAGCATTCACCCCAGATTTTATACCAAGCCTTGTGCTTGCTTTGCCAGGGCACTGGAAGTTTAGCTAGTATTGTGTGCATAATCTTGCCATGCAGGAATATTAAATAAAGTTAATTGATTATGTATTATGTTACAGCCTGGAAATGGGCAGAGGTGAGGTTATGGATCCAGAACTGGAATGTTTGGTTCAAAACCAAATCAGGGCTTAGGGTTTGATGACGCTGAAATCTGTAAGGTGTTCTTTAAATCAATTGATCTTAAGAACTTTCCACCATTTTAAATGGGAGAAACCTCACAAGAGGGGTTCCGTATTCTTGGGCAGAAATCTTATCAGAATGGCCATTTTCTGGAAATTTCAGCCACCTCTCAGCCAGAACCAGAAAGCTGCAGCTTCAGATCTGACCTAGAATTTGAAACAACCCTCAAATGCCTCTGATTTTGGCTTCTCTCTACTAAAGGCAGTTCTGATCCATATTGTAAAGGAGCCAAGTTAGAGGAGGGGGGACAAAAATACAGCTCCACCGTACTAAAGCCTCAATATGTATAAGAAGACCCAACATGAAAAACAGTTGGCCACTTCAAAAGTTAAGTTAAAGAATACGAAAGCAGAGATAATTTCCTAAATTCATTGTTCACATATGTGAGTATATGAACCTTGTAGGCAGGGTGGGGGCAAAGGAACTTAACTGAGGTCCTGAGTGATAAAATTTCCATTGGCTTTGGTGGGAGCAGGGATGGATCCTGGGTCTTGTTTACTTGACCCTTAGGATGACTTTTTAATGTGGCTCTTTTATATAGCTGTTGCTCCTTCTACGTTAGCTACAGTAGACTAGTTTAGAATTTACATTACTAATAGTGGCTTATTATATCTATCTGAATATCCACCTGTCTATACCAGGGTCATGTCCACAGTGTCCAGGCAACTTTCAAAAAAGTACTTAAAAATGAGGTCTTCTGTTTCCCTTCCTCCCCTTTCCCAATTAGCAGGAGTTTGCCACCTTCTCTCTCTCTCTCCTCATTCCACACCCATCTCTAAGTGAAAGCTAAGGCAAAGAATGAGACTTACATTTCATTCTGAAGGCAGAGAGATTTAGGATCATACTGCTGTCTTTCATGAGTGAATTCCATAGACAAGGACCTGATGCCAAGAAGGCTCCATATCCCAAGCTTACAGATCCACTCTTGTGCTTGTCAATTCTGTTGTTCCATGGAACACAGCTGTTGTAGGATGCTGTGATCATGAAGAGGGAGGCAGTCTTGCAAGTAGCTCAGACATATTTCTGGTAGCTTGAAAAATACCTTTTATGCCTATTTAGAAAGTAGATTTGGAAAATCTGTTTCAATATATTGTGCAAATCCCTTCTACTTTATGGATTGTGGAGCAGTTACACTATCACAAATCCTTCCATTATGCTCATGATGTGTCAGACAACCACATTAAATCCCCCCCCCTTTTTTTTTTGAGCCTCCTCCATCCCCCAAAATGTGTCAGGATTCCACACACCTCAAATTAGCTGATTTTATTTTTTAAGAGAACCCACATGTACAATATACAGTAAACTGTGCAAAATGTCAGGATAGAAGGAAAACTGCAGCCACAGACGCTAAATCTCTTCACACCTCTTTGGGGGAGAGTGGCAGTAGAAATGTGAACAAAAGACATAACAATAAGGACAATCATTCAAATTTTGATCACGTTATGATACAGTATTGTCTGAGCTCCCGCAAGGCCGCCACAGATAAACCATTAATGATGTCATTGTACAGATAATGTCACGTGCAGCAGATAGCTTTTTGTGGAAGGAAGGAATGGAGTCTCAGAGTGTCTTCTGATGGTAGAATGCAAAATAGGGACATTCATGGCAACCATGACAAAAAAAAACCTAAGTGAAGCCATTCAACTTGAATTAACTACACTGAAATTATCATAAGATTTTATTTACATTTGAATAGTTTTTTGTGATAATGAAGATAGCAAGTAGACTTGTTTACTCTGTCAACTGATAGCCTCACCGATTATAAAAATGTACAGCTGAGCTTTATTTTGCTTATGGCATTAGCCTTGTGAAAAAGACAATACAACCATGAATGAAAATACATAAAACAGACCCTGTCCTAAAGAAACATAATTTATAATTACATTGATGCAATAAAACCACTAAACATCCATCATAACAGCAAACTAAAACCTGTCTCCTTTTAAGGACATAAATGGCCCTACGTGGAACTGCACTCCAGAGATTGTATAATGTAACATGCAATGCTTCTTCATCTTTATTGTCCATTTCAGAGTACAATGACTGACTAAAGAGCATAATAATCACGAGCCACTATTTTGGAGAATAGTGGAAGTGAAACAGCATTCTGTTTATCCATCTGTCCAATCTTGAAGGGGATTTGGGTTTTATCTTTATTATGGTTAAACACTGGGGTACATCCTGCTCCCTGTGAACATCCCAAGTAAGGCTATGAGTAAGGAAATTCCTTGGTTGTCAGAGGTGCTGAATCTTCCCCTTCAGTCCAGGCCACAAGGCTGCATTGGCTCTGTTCCACAGCTGCCAATACAGCATGGAATGTACAAAGGCCTCAGTGGCTGCTGTGCTGCTCACTTCACAGGGGACTTGCATTGTCTTGGATACATTTGCTGCACCTTGCCTAGAAATCTCCTCACCTGATGGCGTGCGAGGAGCCCCTACAGAACCCAAAAGCACATAGAAGAGTCTGAAACCCCTGCATGGATTCCCGTAGCCTTTCCATCAATAGCAGTAAATATTTGTATTATAATAGAGCATGGATCAGGACTGGGGCCCCATCGTACTGGGTGATGTACGAACAGAAAAGAAACAATCCTGGACCTGAAGAGTTGATAGTCTAAAGAAAGCTTGGGAAATATGAACAAAAATTGGCCCACTGTATTGCAACGTCTGTAAACAGCTTTTTAAAATGTCACTAACTTAATCCATGGTAGATTGATTGCAATGGAAAATTAAATTCTGTTTACTCACTAAAACAGCAGAAAAAGTCCACAGTGGAAATTCAAGCATTCCCACAATCCCACACCAATG